AGACGATGTGGTGTAGATCGTACAACTTTTTTCCTCGGTGACCGACTTCTAACAGAGCATAGTAGATTCTCCTGATGCCCATGGGTTTCGTCCATTCCACTAGCAAAAAAAACCGGTCATGAAAAGAAATTGTAAATTTTGTGGCAGAGAGAATGGAGGGTCAGGCACAGACCACACTTGCACACAACTAATACCGGCGCATGTCATAACATACGCGTTGCCACTCACCTTGAGCCAGGATGTACGCGCGTGGACGCCGATAACCATGGACCCAGTTCGCATGCAAATAGGTCCCGTCCGATAGAGCGACTGCGGTTGCGTCCAAACATGGGACATCCAGGTATCGGTTACGGCGACGATTTTCCAATAGCCTGTAAAGGTGAGTGTGCGTGAACAGATCTGTGAAGCGAGAAACGGTGTCACATGAAATTGTGAACGGTCAACAGGTGCGCGAAAACAGATTGCCCGCAAAAAATTGATTTTCTTTCCTTTTTTCGATGTTCTTTATTAAAGTTCATATCGGGAAAAGGCTGCTTCAATTACTCCCATTTAAACCAAGCACATCTGTTCAAACTGAGTCCGAACGTGTCTGTCAATAATCTGGATTGGAGTCCAGGGTCTACTGATTGTTGCAGTTTGGCGTCGAACAAAAATCAATAATCTCGGCAGAAATGCATTGTTGATGAGTTTAAACAAAACGGGATGAGATTGAGCTGTGCAATACTTCTACCTGTTTCTCTGTGGGTTGTGTAACACACTCATGAACTAGACATATATCCCAACTCGTTTTCGGGCATTCAGTATTCAGGTTAGTACAACGCGGGTAACGGAGTGCCGTTTCTGATAATGGGATAGGGAGTAATACCCGTTTTCATAAATTCCCCTATGATCATACTCTCAACTAACCGGTTTTTATTCATGCTACCAACATGACGGTACCTATACACGGTAGATCTCCTTATCCAAAAGTCATTTGTTGCATAGTTCACGTTTTGCAAGCATACAGACTGTCTTTAGGTACTGAGTGAGACACGGGTGGGGCATAAAGAAGCACCACACGCTAGACACAATCACCGGAATTTGACGCATTGAGTTCCCTTTATCCCTTTATTGTCAATACAGAAAGAAGAACCCGCTTCGAAAAATAGTACATAGCTTAGACCAGTCAAGCGTTGGCTCAGTGTCATCATCGTTTGGGAATTTTCCGTTCGGAATTTCCCACATAGCGCATCGCTCCACAACTGATTCTCTTGTGGTGATTCTCCACCAACACTTGGGCAGTATCGGATTCGGAATCTATCCTCCTCCTGTGCCGGTCCGAAAATCACCTAACCGATCGGGTTCATTTATCGATTGGTCGGGAGGTTCAGCGACAACAAGGGACCTAGCGCTTACCCAGCTAACCCGAGAGAGAAACCACACCTTTTTATACAGCTGTGAGTCTCGGGCAGTAAACTTCGACTGTGCGGCATGTGTGCCATCACCACACAGATGGACTAGACGTACAAACAAGAGCATAACAAAACGTACAAGCCGGTGATCAGACAGTCTCGTGTTGGGGTGGGGAATTTCAGACACCGCAGATCGCGGAATATGATCTAATCAGATCACAGAAAAGGTCAGAGGGAATTTACTCGTTTAAAGTTACGGGTGAGAGGAACGAGACGATGGTAAACGATGGAGCAATCGCACTGTAGAAGGTCAATTCCAAGGTAAGTGGATTGATTGTATCAAAACATTTTGTGCGCACAAGGTCGGGTGATGTAATCGATTAAGCAGTTCTCCACTAATTGCCAAAAGTTAAACATTGTGATTAGGTAATAGTGGTTTGAGTGAGCGACTGAGAAGATTAAACGAAATGTTAACATCTCGCGACATTTATCTTCTTTGCGTATTGATGTAATCACCGAAGTAAAAAACACCATGTCCACATGCGCTGTCAGATGCAAGGTGCGATATTATCATGTTAGAAATTACACAATCAATTTCGTCCCGTCGTACACAGCATTCAATCTATCCAACACAGTATGTTGGCCGGAGTTAGGTTGGACACTGGAGAGTACTGATTATTCATGAAGGTATATATATCGAGTAAGTGAGTACGTATGTGCGACAGCCTATAACCTAAGGTTGAGTTTTATTGGACGCAGGAGCTGGATCGGAGCATAGAACTATACGTCTAATTTTGGATATTCATTTTCTCCTCACCGCCGGGCGGTGTTCTGTTTTACTCTCCAACATGCACAAATAACACACACACACACACATGCATACATATATAGGAAGTTGAGTTTATGACTCCAGACCCCACCCCACCCCACCTCACCCCAACAACAACAACAACCACTTCGTACAAACACGGAGACCGGGATAAAGTGTATTGTTTAACGTGATAACTATGAATTAGTCTGGCTTGTGAGTGCATGCGTGCGTTTGCGCGCGAGCTCCCTCACGTGGCCCACACCTATACACACCTACATTCTCTTCGTGGTCCTTGTGGTTGAGATGAATTTTTTTTTCAAAAGAGACGATCAGATTGTTGCAGTCGATCGAAACTGAGAAACAGCTATTCACAACCGTCCGTCCCAGTTTGTGAGCATAAAGCGGGAGAAATGGTCACAAGAGGCATTGCTTTGAATCAGAGTGTGCGAAAACCGTTAATGTGGTGGTGGTGGTGGATTGCAGTTTACCTCGGAGAGAACAACAGATCAACTCGAGATTAGTTACATTTATTTGCGATTTGCTTGTCTCAAAGATCAGATGACAATTATACAAACTTGACCTTGAAAGCTTTCATCATTTTCGAGGTTTGGCAGTGAAAAAATATGTTTGAGAACTGATTGTACGAACAAATGCTTAAAAATCCAACAGGAAAATCCGTACACTGCAGAATAATCATTTTTCTTTTTTGGAACTACTATTGTTGTGGAACCAATTGTGAAAACCAATTTCTCGTATAGTGTTTGATAATTTCGCATTATTAAGAGGATTTCGATCAGTTGTTCATCGACCAAGTTGACGTCGCTTCATAGCAGTCCAGGTTATCAAATGAGTTGGATACAGTTAATATGTTGTCGTTGAGATTAGGTGTTTCAGAAAATTGGTCACCGTAACCATTCCGAAGGACGCCTAATCTAGCCATATAGAAAAATAGGCGTGCTTCGCACATGGATCCGATAACGTAACATGTCACGCCATGTCGCGTCATCACGAAGTCAGTGAAGTCATGGTTCCGATCGTCGCGTAGATTGGGTCTAGACAAGACAACCGGGGGGCAGCAAACATTTGCATTTGTTTGCATGATGGTAACTTCAGTCTTTTTATTGCTACTGCTTCTGTCATTGTCAAGTGACGTTGCCGAATGTACTTTTTTGCCTCCGAAAGCCTTAATATGGTCGGGGGTAAGTGTATAGAGTTCCGGCTGGTCACCCTTCCCCTGCACCTAGCGAAATACTCCCATACAACCAAGTGTCTCAAATAGTCTGTGCTGAGAGGAAGCCCTAGCAACTACCTTCTCGTGGAGGTGTTTTCCCACCAAAGTGAGATGATTAACAGCCGATATCCCGGACTATAACCGGGTTGGTAGAACACTGGTAGTCCACCTAGGGGAGTTGGCCAGAACCCTGATTCCAAACCAACCAGGAGGAGGCGCATGAACCACACCCACACCTTTCCGGTTGTGGTAATGATCACCGGCTCAATTGGGCACCTTGGA